TCCTCCTCCTCCTCCTCCTCCTCCTCCTCCTCCTCCTCCTCCTCCTCCCTCCTCCTCCTCCTCCTCCTCACTCCTCCTCCTCCCCTCCTCCTCCTCCTCCTCCTCCTCCTCCTCCTCGTCGCTCTCTCGCCTCCCTCGCCTCCCCAATCCGGGCCCTCGTCGCCGCCAGGGTCGCACAATTCTCCAGGACGCGCGGGCCTGGCTGGTTCCACGCGCCGGCCGTGCCGGCGCGGCACCGCGCGACCGCACCTCGGAGCGGCGCGCGGCCGGTTGCGCGATTGTCAAGGGCGCCTTCGAGGGCGCGAAGTTATTCGCGCTTCGCCGTTCGGTTCCGATTCCTCCTCCTGGTCCCCTTTTCCCCTGGGGGGCGGCGCGAGAGCGCGAATTTCTTCGCACTTCGCGCAGCGCGAAGCGCGAGGCGCGAAGGTGGGAGCCCTTGTTCCCGCGCGCGTGGGGGCGGGACGAACTCGTGAGGCCCGTCGCCCCCCGATGTTCAGGAACGGAAGATGGACGTACACGTACATGAAGCCACGCTGGTTTTGAGAGAGCTCACTGCCAAACCCGAGATCACGCGGTCAGTCTCGCGGATCGAGGGGCGATGTTCTTGTAGTAGCTGGGCTCGTACGTTTTTTGTGGATCCCCCCGTTGTCCCAGCTCTCGGTCGGTGGCGAGCTCGATGGCCGCGCGCCCAGCCGCCGCCGCCCCCCTGAGGGTTGGAGGAGGCGCGATGGGGGGACGATACCTATATATATATACATATGTGTGTGTGTATATTTGTATATATAAATGTGTGTAGGTATATTTGTATGTATGTATGTATGTATGTACGTATACATGTGCGTATGTATGATTGGATGCATCCATGTTTGCATGCATATATGTATGTATGCATGCATACATGTTGATTTGTAGAGATGTATGTATGTTTTTGCATGTGTACACACATATATATATGTGTATACATATGTATACATATGTATTCATATATATATATATAGATACCGGTGTGTGTAACTGAATGTGTATATGTTTATGGACGTGTATGTGCATATGCGTCTGTATGTATGTATGCATGCATGCATGTATGCGTGTATGTATAACTGGTATGTATGTGTGCATGTATGCATGTATGCATGAGCTGATGACTGAATTAATGATTGAATGAAATTATGTATGTATGTGTGTATGTATGTGCCTGTCTGTATGGATGGATGGATGGATACAGGTGGACGTATACATATAAAAAAGGGGCAGCGAGGGCTGCTGAACAAAAAGAATGTGCCCTTTCGGGTCCCTAAAGGGGCCCTGAGACCCCGGGCGGGTCCGAAAACGACACCTGCCTTCCGCCCCCGTGCATCGCCACCGTATTTACTCGCACCCATAAAGGGGCATGCCGTGCTTCGCGGCTGCCCCTCCCTGCCTGTTGCCCGCTGCTCTCCTCGGCGCCCACCGTGCGGGGGGGGAGGAGGAGGAGGAGGAGGAGGGGGAGGAGGAGGAGGGAGGAGGGGAAGGGGGAGGGGGACGCCTTCCGTTGCGACCCCCCGAGGAAAAGCATCGCTTGCTCGTCCAGAAGCAGGAAGAAAAGGATGACGAAATGGAACGGTTACGCACCAACTACATGGGGCAGGCGTTACTCCAGACCATCGAGGATTACGAGATGAACGAGGGGGTTCCGTCCCCAATGAGGGCCGAGTTGCTTTGACTTCGTCTGCGCCTGGCGCCGCTCTCCGCTGCGTCTCTGGGGTCCTGGCCGGCCGCGGACTGCAGGGCGCCGGCTGGGAAACGTGTCGCCCGTCGGGCAGGACAGTGTGCCATAATGTCTCTGCACTTTTTTCCCCAGATTCCTATATTGTTCGTCGTAGTCATCCAGATCTCTGCCCTGTTCCTCATATGTTTCCTCATCGTCGACGCCTTTCCTGCTCGCCGTCCTCCTCCCCAGACGGATGTGCAGTTCAGAGTAACCCGAAATCCCAGGGTCGAGTTGTACCGTATCTGATCCGCCTTTTTGTTCCCCTTCCGTCTCTGATTTCTCCCTCTTTCATCTCTCCTCCCTTTCTGGCCTCTCCTTCCCCCCCCCGCACAGTTTCCGTGCCCCCTTTTACGCAATGTGTTCCCGGCTTCATGCGATTGCCGACCGGCCCTGCTCGAGTGTTCGTGGCTTGATTGACGATGCGGCGCATTCAGAACAAAACGTTGCTGAAAGGTGGAGTCTATCTCCTGTATTCACACCGCATATTGCGTGCATGTTACGGGTGCGGCGATCTGATGGGCGCGCAATGCGTGCACAAACGACTGTGGACAAGGCCCCACGATGGCCCTCCGTGGTCCGCGTTCGACGGGGGGCTCGGCGGAACGCCAGCGTTCCAGAACGGCCTCTCGCAGTGTTGGTTTGAGGGCAAGAGGTGAAACATGTTTTCCTCGTGTGATCGACGCACTTGAGGGCGCCAGCCCCTGGTTTGGGGTTTCCGCGGCGCCAGCGTCCTTCAGCAAGCCCCGAGTGTTCGAACCGTGTCGTTCCTTTAAGTCCGTAGCGTAGTTGCACGACTGGGGTGGCTCAGCGGTTGGGCGGCTATCTTCAATTGTTTGGTTATGTGGCTGAGGGCCTGCACACAAACAGTTGCCTGGTTCCCCAAGTGTCCTCCCAGCTCGTGGAAAAAATACGCGTCGTTGAACGGTTTTGCTTCTCCAGCCCAGAGTGGCCGCAATAACACCTAACTTAATTATGCCAGTCGTCCAGACATCATGTGCCGCGAGTGTGTGGCAGGCGGTTTTTGTTTCCCCCCCCCAGGCCGCCCAGGTCCCCAAGGTCCAAGGCATCGTAGCAGAACAACAAGGGTGTTTGAACGTCGGCCTGTGTCTCAATGTGATGGGTGGCGCGGGCAACGGACTGTTTCACTCTGTTCTTTGCCATTCAAGTCCTTAGGGTGTGGCGCCAGGGCGTGATCTAGGGGATTTGTTTTGCGGCAGGTCCAACATCCCGACCCAGCATGCACACTGCGATCGACAGAAACACGGGATCGGGGCACCCCGTTGACGCTGCATCGCTTTCTCTTTGCAGGCCGTTCGGTCCCCCCCCTCTTCCAACTCCTCCCCCACCTTCCCGTCCGAGAAGCCCCAGACGTTCGATCGCCTTGCTTTTTCGCAGCGAGGGTCGGGACGCCTTCTCGGGGGCCGGCTACTCGTCCTGTAGAGCTTCTCGTCCTCCCCGCCCGACAAGCTGGGGGGGAGAGCTCCCGGCCCGCCTCGCACATCCCCCGCACCCGGCGGCCGCAGGGCCCCCAAAGCGTGCTGGTATTCCCTGCAGTATCCCGCCTTGCGCCTTCGACGACTGCTCCGACGAGTGACCACTGCCTGTCGCGGCCTCGACGCCCCCAGCGGTGCCTCTGCCCCCATGGGGGCCCCGCCTCGCGCTTTCGGGCGGGCACCGCTCGAAGCACGAGAAGTGTCACGGCCTCGGGGGCCCGGCCGGGGCCCACGGGGGCAGACAGTTTAGGCACTCTCCGAGTGGCGCGCCTCGCGCGCTGGACGAGTGACGACTGCATGGATATCGGGGCCGGTCGGCCCACAGTGCGCCGATGCTCCCTGGATCTCCCGCGTGGCGCTCTGGGGCAATGATGCTCCAGCCTATTTTAGCCCGCGTCACCAGGAAGAGAACTGCGAGCATCAACAAAATTACCGAAGCTCGAAGTGTCTCATGTGTCGGACTTTGGGAGACACTCGTTCGACGCTGTTTCGACACCTTCCCGGGTGTTCGAAATATCATTTGGGATGTGGTCTTCGAGCACGATGGAAACAACATAATTTTAGGGTGGGAGCCGCTCGAAACTATACCGGTGCCGCTACTCCCTGGACCTCTCCTGGGGCGTTCGCGGCCCAGAATTCAGAGAATTTAGCCGTGACGACGAGGGCCCTCCAGGACGGGCAGCATTAGGTATGTTGTGCGCGAGAGCGATTTGAGGCATGAGTGGTTTTCTTTCCCGGCTATTCGCGTTCACGTGTTACTGCTTACTAGAGGTCGCTCGTAGGCACAAGTAGACGCCACTCGACACCAATACGAGCCACCAGGCGCCAACAGGCGCTGAAAGGGGCAGTAATCGGCACTACTAGGCGATGATTGTGCGGAACCTGTCTTAACATCATCCTCACACATCGTACGCATCAGGCAGCGGTATCGGTGAAAAATCGTCGCCTCCGAGCTCGAGGCCCGCTGCATTTTGGGCCCCGGTGGAGCGTTTGCCGCGGAGAGCCCCCGTGGAGCGCCGGCCGCGGAGGAGGAGCAGGAGGAGGAGGAGGAGGAGGAGGAGGAGGAGGAGGAGAAGGAGGAGGAGGAGGAGGGGGAGGAGGAGGGGGAGGAGGAAGGCAGGGGAGGAGGAGGGGGAGGGGGAAGGCAAAGGAGGAGGGGAGGCAGGAGGAGGAGGAGGAGGAGGAAGAAGAGGAGGTGGACGAGGAGAGGAGGAGGAGGAGGAGAAGAGGAAGAGGAGGAGGAAAAGAGGAGGAGGGCGGAGGAGGAGGAGGAGGCGGAGGAGGAGGAGGAGGAGGAGGAGGGCGGAGAAAAAGGAGGAGGAGGAGGAGGGCGGAGAGGAGGAGGGCGGAGGAGGAGGAGGAGGAGGAGGAGGAGGAGGAGGAGGAGGAGGAGGAGGAGGAGGAGGAGGAGGGAGGAGGAGAGGGGAGGAGGAGGAGGAGGAGAGGAGGGGAGGAGAGGGGGGGGGGGAGGGAGGGAGGGAGGGAGGGAGGGAGGGAGGGAGGGAGGGGGGAGGGAGGGAGGGAGGGAGGGAGGGAGGGAGGGGAGGGAGGGAGGGAAGCGTGAAGGTGGGGAGGAAGGGAGGGAGGGAGGGAGGAGGAAGGAGGGAGGGAGGGAGGGAGCAGGAGGCAGGAGGAGGAGGAGGAAGAAAGACCGGAGGAGGAGGAGGAGGAGGAGGAGGAGGAAGAAGAGGAGGTGGACGAGGAAGGAGGAGGAGGAGGAGGAGGAGGAGGAGGGAGGAGGAGGAGGAGGAGGAGAGGTCCACGCGCTGTCGATGATACAGAGCGACATGGGCCACTTCGGGGCGGTGGGCGAGATCGGCGTGGCCGCGGGGAGCGCCGCGCGGCCCCCGTGTCGGGGCGACCACAAAGGGGGGGGGCAGGCACCAGTTTCGAGTCGGGCCTGTCCCTCTACAGGATGATGGGCCCATCTTCCACCACCACACCACCACTGCCATAGGTGAGAGAGGGAGAAGGATGAGGAGGAGGAGGAGGAGGAGGAACTCCTCATCCCCCTTCCTCCCCCGTCCTAAATATGGTAGTGGTGGTGAAAAACTTGCCCATCACAGGAGGAACACTCAAAGCGATTCCAAATTGGTATGTGGACGATTGTGTCTTGGTCCCTGTGCGTATCTTTGGCTTTAAAAAAAACGAATTTGCTAGCAGAATCCGCCTCTACGAGGACATACCCGACCCGACACCAGCTCGGAGGAGGAAAGGATGCCCCGATGCAGCTGCCCGTCCTGGAGAGCCCCCCGCCGCCACGGCCGGAGGCTCCTCGACACGCTGGGCAGAGCGCGCCCCCAGGGGCTGTCCGCGGAGCGGCGGCATCGGCACCTCCTCCTCCTCCTCCACCTCCTCCTCCTCCTCCTCCTCCTCCTCCTCCTTCTCCTCCTCCTCCTCCTCCTCCTCCTCCTCCTCCTCCTCCTCGTCCTCCCAGCGAGAGGGGACCGGATGGACCGGGACCGGCCGCCGTGATGGACACGGGTGCTCAAGAGCGCCCTCGAGGGCGCGAAGTTCTTCGCGCTTCGCGCCTCGCGGTTCGGCTCCGGTTCCTCCTCGTCCTCCCCTTCTCCCATGGGAGGCGGCGCGAGGGCGCGAAGTTGTCCGCGCTTCGCGCGAAGCGCGAGGCGCGAAGTTGGGAGCCCTTGCTGAGGGAAGCGGGTTCGGAGGTTTCTGCAGTTTGCTAGCTCCCGGGGGGCTGGGAGGAGGAGGAGGAGGAGGAGGAGGAGGAGGAGGAGGAGGAGGAGGAGGAGGCGGCGAAGGCGGAGGAGGAGGAGGAGGAGGAGGAGGAGGAGGAGGAGGAGGAGGAGGAGGAGGAGGAGGAGGGAGGAGGAGGGAGAAGGAGGAGGGAGGAGGCTCCCGGGGCCCCGCACTGGCCCCGGGGCCGTCAGGGCACGGCCTCGCTCGCGAGCACATCCAGGACAGGCTCCAGGACAGAAAAACCTCGGAGTTTCGCAAGCAGGCGGGGCACATCGACTCTATCGAAGGCGCCGCTCACATCGGAGCAGTACAGCAAGACACGGCCGACGCTTTACTATGACTGTACCGATGCTTTGCGTTACGAGCACGGACCGTTCAGCAGACAGCGAATTGTCATATTGTTTTTTTGCTTAAAGGCCTACGGTACCAAACAAAACAAAATGGGCCTGTATCGCTATAAACTACCAGACACACTCTTTTAACAACGAATGATGTTACATCATACAACACGCACTGGCAATCGAAACCGTGCGAATATGGCGACTTCACCGCCAAGACTGTCGCAAGCTCGCCACGCCACAAAATCGAAGCGTCCAGCCACGTCTCAGTGGAACAAAGAAAAGCTGGGAGAGGGAAAGAGAGAAACGTATGCGAAGCTCAACCACATAAGCGGGAAAAATCTGAAAATTTAACATGGTAAGCTGATGGTAATTTAGATGGTTCGGACCGCGATTCACCAATCACCATCCAGGGTCCAGGACCCGCCTCCCTCAGGACCCGCTTCCTCCATGTTCAGTGATGGCAGGGGTGGGAGGGTGGGGGGAGGGCCCATCATGGGGTCGGGCCTAACCTCCTACAGGGGGACTTTGGACGATAAAGAAAACATACGCCAAAACTGTTCAAAAGATGCCCAACCATACTCAAAAGAGAGTTCCCAGACCCGCTCCCTCCATTGAGGAGGGGAAAAAAACACACAGACACAATTCATCGTCGATTCCCCAGAAAAAAATATGGGAAGATATGAGCAGTGGGGCGAAGACTGAAACCCAGAAAATACGGGAAAATATAGGGGATCCTGTTGTTTGTGTGTATTTATTTGTGTGTCACAGGGCCCCTTTATGATGGCAGGGGTTGGTGGGTGGGGGGGGGCCTATCGCGGCCGGGGACATGCAACCTCCCATATTTCATGGCCCACCCTTTCTCAAGCAGTGGCGAAGCGTCCTGGCTCGCCTACCAAGCAATGTTCTACGAACCGGATGTGGCTTCCAAGAAATGTTAGAACATTTCTGGCTGGGTCTGTCTTGTCTGAACACATCGGGTTTATGTTCTAAGAGCGTTGATGTTGTGTTTAGAATTCGAACACTTTTGGGTTCTCAGAACATTTCGCGGTAGGACTAGAGGAATGCTGGAACGGTCGGTCCCTGCCCAACTTTCCCTGTCAGTGCGCTCCTTGGCCCTTCCCTGGCCTGCGCAGACGCCTCGGGCCATGCAGCACGAACCCTCTTCCCCTTCCTGGCCCCCCTCTTTGGCGCACCCGACCGCCTTCCTACATTCCTAAGCACCTCTATTCGGGAGGGGGAAAACACACGGACGCAGTTAAGCGTCGACTCCCGGGAAAATATTGGAAAATATGGGAAGTGGGGGGGGAAGACGAAACCCCAGAGAACATGGAAGCATACGGGGAACCCTATTATTTGTGTGTATACTTGTGTGTCGCAGGGCCACCCACCGCATATCCGCGTTGACGTCCACGAAGGACAGGGCTTCTCTGAGATGCTTCGGCAGGTAGCCAGAGTGGGTCGCCACGGCAGCCATGCGCTGCCCTCCCCCACTTCGGGCAGTCGCGACTCAAGGATCAGCTCTCCCTGATCCTCGACCAATAGAAAACTTGGAGCCTTGGCCGGCCCCCATATGCTTATCAGACCCGCCGAAGCACGTGTTCGGCGCAGTGGACGCTCCTGGGTGCGCCTGGGGGCGCCGGGGAGCGCTTGGGAGGGCTTCGGAAGCTCCGGGGAGCGCCCGAAAGTGTCTGGGAGCGCCCAGGAGCGCCTGAGCCTGGGAGCGCCAGGGAGCGCCAGGGGGCGCCTGGGCGCTCGGGAGCGCTTGAAGCCGCCTGGGAAGCGCCCGGGAGAGCCTGGGAGCACGCGTGTGGGCATTGAGGGTCTTCCCTAAACCCTAAGAGGCTTTAGTGTTGGAGGTCGCCGGCCGCTCGACCAGGGGTGGGAAGATGGTGCAAGTCTTGCACCCTTCGGCAAGCATGCTCGGGTCGGCGAAACGCCCCCCAATCAAGCTTGCCGAAAGGGGGGCAGCACTGCCTGAGTCTGTTGGCCGCTGCGCACCCTGAACATGTCTTATCAATGTTAATTTGAATCCTAAGCAGAGTCGCTTCCCTCGGTCCCCGCCTGTGGGGAGCGAAGCCCGAACTCTTCGCGTTCCTATCTCAAAAATGTGGTGCGGCGCACATCCACATGCGAAGCCGATTCCTGAACTCGCGTAGTCCTCCATCAAAAACGTGGCGCGGGTCACATCCCGCGCTCGCGGACCAAAGGAACGAATTCATTGCCCATCCCGATGATCCACTAAAGACGTGGTGCGGTGCACATCGCCATGCGAAGTTAAGTCCTAAACTCGCACGATCCTCCATTACAAGTGTGGCGCGGGCCACATCCCGCGCGCGCAGCCGAAGGGAACAAATTCCTTGCCCTTCTCGACGTGCTATTAAACTGTGGCGCGGAGAACATCCCGCCCGCGCGGCTGCTCTGCGCCCTGAGCGACCGCCGACGGAAGATATGGCGCGGGGCACATTCCGCCCACGCGTCGCGCGCTCGAGGGCGGCGCGCGCTTCGCAGGGGCCGCCGCGCGCCCCTAGCCTTAAGTCGGGCATGCCCCTAGCCTTAAGCCTTAAGCCTTAGGGGGAATGCTCAAAGATAGTCAAAACATCGTAAGAGGACGATTTCCCGTGCTTGTTTTTGGGTGGGGCCTTATACATATATATATATGTATATATACATATATATATATATATATGTATATACATATAATAATATATATATATATATATATATGTATATAAATATATATATATATATGTATATACACACAAATGTATGTGTGTATATGTACATGTATGTATATAGAGTGAGTATGTTTTGACTATTTTCATTTTCCGTCCAAAATCCGCCCGTCGGGGGACATGCCCGACCTGACCCCAAGCGGCCCCGGGCACTGCGAGGCGATGCCGCGCGCTCCTCCCGAGGGGCCGCCGCGCGCTCCCGGAGCTGCTCCTTCCTGCCCGCGGCTCGCCCCACGCGCTCCTCGCCGCTCCGCCCCGCTCCCCGACGGCTGGCGTGCACCGGAGCAATCAGCGGCTCATCAGGCTTGAGCTCAGAGGCCCGAATCATCAGGGGTAACTGGGGTCAGGGATAATTCGGGTTCGCTTCTCGGGAATCCAAACCCGAGTTACCCCGGACCCGAGTTACCCCGGATAACTCGGGCGTCCAGAGCCCCGAATCATCAGGGGTAACTCGGGTCAGGGCTAACTCGGGTTCCTTTTTCGGGAATCCAAACCCGAGTTACCCCGGACCCGAGTTACCCCGGATAATTCGGGCGCCCAATGAGCCTAAATTGGCTCTGGATTCGCACTCTACCTGCAAGGAGGAAAGACTGGTCTACTCTGTAAGAACGGTTTTTTGACCCACCCGCCTCAGCCCGCGGCAAAGTTGCTGCGATATGTACGAACTACTCTGTAAGAACGGTTTTTTGAAGGCAGATCTGCCTTCAAAGAATCGTTCTTACAGAGTAGCACCAGCCAAGAGAAGCAGCGAACCTGAAAAAAAGTGTGTCTTCATGCATCGGGCCGAATCGGAGGTGGATAGACCTCCTACCCTGACACGTCGATTAAGGAATCTGCCGTTTTCGGTTCGCGAGAGGGCGTCGCGGCCGTCGTTTTTGCGGGTCCAGGTCCGTCGGTTTCGGTCCCAGGCCGTTTCCGCTAAGGGGAGGTTTACTAAAGGGGGGTTTGTCCACCGCCGACCGAACGAAAGGGGGGGATAGGGAAAGGGGGGGTCACGAAATCTGCTGCGTGCAGCTGGTTTCCGGCCCCGCCAAGTGGCCCCTTCCTCGATACATGGGCGCCTCCCGGCGCCGGGAGGCGCCTGGAAAATCAGCTACGTGAGCTGATTCTCAAACCCCCCCTTTGCTGTCCCGCCCTTTCGCCCGGCCCGA